GTAGGGGTGAGGGGCGGAGGTAAGGGGGATAAGACGGCGTGTTCCCATCCGTGGGGCGAGAACTCTCCCGTGGTCCCCAGCAACAAGGGCGGGGAGACGCCCTCCGTCCCTCCCGCACTCCCTCGGAACGCACACCGGCGAGCGCCGCGTCCTCAGGTGCTCCGGGCTTCCCCGCGTCAACCGCAGCCAGAGCGCCCCCCGCGACGCCGCCATTCATTCCTCCTCCTACACCACAAGCGCAGCGCGGGCCTTCAGGGGCGGGGAACCGCCGGGCGCCGCGGGCACTTTGAGTCGGGATTTCGGTGCCAGCTGCCGGGCTAGGGGTGAGGGTGTCCGCCCCGGCGCGCGCTGCATCCGACCAGTTACTAAGGAGAGACTGAAATACACAGATTCGGGAGACGGAGATACAAGGGCAGGCACTCAGATACAGGGACCAAGCATGGAGATAGATACGGAAAGGCAAAGACACTTAAGACGCAGATGTGGACAAAGACCGTAACACAGCAAAAGAGATATGGGGGCACAGAAACAGAGGATACAGACAGACACATAGAGATAGACTGGCATACAGATAGGCAGAGACAGAAATAAAGAAGGACAGAGACGCACAGACCCTGATGAACTACGTAAGACCCGCGGGCAACTAGGATACAGGAGCGCGCCAACTGCGAGGGCACCATCCACTGGCCTGAGCTCTTTTCCGAGTCCTGCCGGTTCGTGTCTTCCCCACTTTTCACCTGGTACCTGACCCTCCCCCTGCCGCGGTTCCCACGCCGCTCGCCGCTTTCCATTGCCTGCCCTGCTATCGCCTTCCCGCCCAGACGCATCCCGCCAGCTTTCGGTCCACCTCCCCTACAACCCCGCGGCCAGTGCCCCTTACACTCCTCTGCTAGCCAGGGTGTCGGACTCCCGCAGGTACCAGGCTCGATCCCACCCCACCTCCAACCCCGCCTCTCCCCGCCACATCCCGCCCGGTTGGCCAATACAGTTCCCCGGGGGCCATGTGCCGTCCATTCCCCGCCACCGTGAGGGAACCTCCCACTACTGCTCCCTCCTCTCCTTGGCTAGCTGGCCGCGCTGCTGACCCCCGGCCCCGCCTCTTTTCCGTGGCCTGTGCCAGCCCCGCCTCCCCCGCGCCCCGCCCGCGGTGCTCTGCCGCAGTCGGGCGCTCATCGTCATTCAGCTTTCACCGCCGCCGCCGCCCCCGCCCCCGCCCCCAGCCCCCGCCCGGTTCCCGCCACCGCCGCCGCCGCCGCCTGCCCAGCGGCCCGGGAGGCGGAGGCGCGGGGGAGGAGGCCCGGCTTGGCTCCGCAGCCCCGGATGCTGCATGACTTCATCCTTCCGCCGGCTACCCTGCTGAGCTAGGGCCGGTCCGGCAGCTAGCCCGCCGCCCGCGCCCCGCTGCAGTCCCGCGCCCGCCCCGCGCCCGCCATGTCCGAGATCCTGCCCTACAGCGAGGACAAGATGGGCCGCTTCGGCGCAGACCCCGAGGGCTCCGATCTCTCCTTCAGCTGCCGCCTGCAGGACACCAACTCCTTCTTCGCGGGCAACCAGGCCAAGCGACCCCCTAAGCTGGGCCAGATCGGCCGAGCCAAGCGAGGTACGCGGCCCGGGCCCGGAGTCGCCGCCTGACCCAGAAACCCTTCGCCGGGCGCCCCCCGGCTGCCGTTCCCCGCCGAGTGCCCGCAGCTCTTGCCGCAGACCAGCGCAGCCAGCCGCTCTCCGGCCCCGGGCTTGGGGGGGTCCCCGCTGCAGTGTTGTGTCCCCTTCTTCCCCTCTCCCGGGAACACAGTGCCCCGGATTCGATGTTCGCCACCTCTGGAAGCAGAGCCCTGGCACCCGGGCGAGGGGGAGGGGCCGGTAGGGGCATTTGGGGATGCTTGAAGTGGGAGCAGGGGGTGACGGCTGATTCTTAGGAATCAAATACTGAGTCGGTGGATGCTACGAAGAACAAGAACCTTCGGGTCGAGAGGGGCGTCCTACTGGAGAGAGGACAGGGAGGCTGGGGGTTCTGTTGTCCTGCTTGTTTGCATGGGGAGGGAGGTTCTGTTGGTACCAAGATTGGAAGAGGGTTTCAAGCGTCCAGAGGTTTAGGTTGGGGAGAGGGCTGGATTAGCTGGATATTCCGTTTGAGCCCCATTTGAGGAGGGGGTTCTGTTGAAGTGAGGGCTGAAGAAGGGGGATTCCATGAACGAGAGGTCTCTGATCAGCTCAGATAGGGGAAGATTCAGGCCGCGGGAGGGCTTGCAGTGTGTGGAATAGCTGGAGTCTTTGGTAGAGGGGCGTTCCGCCTTAGGGAGGGGAGGGGGTCTGTGGGAGAGAGGCTTGGCAGGAGAGTTCAGATGGAGGAAGACACCGTGGCACAGGGTTCCGAGGGGCGTCGCTGGGCCACTGGCAGTAGCCGCGCGGGGCGCTAGGACTCGGGGCCGATTGTCGCCGACGCCCCCCGAGGCCGCGCGGCTGACGCGCTTTCTCCCTGCGCAGTGGTGATCGAGGATGACCGGATAGACGACGTGCTGAAGGGGATGGGGGAGAAGCCGCCGTCCGGAGTGTAGACGCGCCAGCTCGGGCGGCGGGCTCCGGGCCCAGCCTCGCAGCGGCCAGGAGCGCGGGCTGGCGATGCGGCTGCGGGCGACCCCCGCCCCGGCCCAAGCGCCCGCGGGCGGGGGCTGCAGGGCCGCGCCGCCGCCGCCGCCAGGCACTCCGGAGCTGTCCGCTTCAGCACCACGGCGGCTGCGGTAGCGGCTGCGCGGACCTGCCGGGAGCCCGCCGCCGCGCTCATGCACTTTAGAACCTCGGGCCGCAGCCCCAACCCGCACACCGGAACGGACACAGAGACCCGCGGCCTCCAGCCCCCGGCCCGCCCCCTCCCGCACGGCTCCCCTGCCCCGCCCCCCTCCGGCCAGTCTGGTCTGTGGACCCGGCGGCCGCAGGTGTCGGACCGCGCGCGCCAGGGATGTTTGGCTGCGCATTTGCATGAGCTTTCCACCCACCTTAGCCCAGCCCTCCGGGCCGTTCCTCACCCCCACCCCTGTCTGGCGTGACCCCAGCCTCAGCCTCTTTCTAAGGGACTTCCTCAGCACATTTGTATTTTTATATCCGACTCTTTGTTTACTGGCTCTGCTCATGGTTCTGCCCTCCCCTCAGTCTCGGCCACGCTCTTCTGCGCCTGGCAGATAGGATGGGTGTTGAGGCTGGGGTGGGACAAGCCCCCAATATGGTTACCAACCACATGGCCAGTCTGCCCAGGCCTGACCCCAGGAGGTTCTTTGGCAGACCCTTTCCCCCCAAGGTATCATCACCTTCCAAGGGCCCAGATCTGATTTTACCTGGGACCCCTGCATCTTGCCCCTGGGAACCCACATGGGGACTGCTCTTCACCTTTCGATGACATCTGTGGCCCTGGAGATGTTCTCAACCCAGGGGTGCCCTTTGTAAATGTTCCTCCATCCTCACTGTACCAGGAGTGTGTGAATAAACACAGACCTCCCTGTGTGTGTGTGTGGCGGCTGCTTAGGTCTGCTCAGGAGCCAGGCCAAAATCCGAGGAGGGCAGGTACTTGGGAATCTTAGGTGCATGCTGCTGGTGGGGGAGGGTTGCCAAGTGAAGACAGGCAGGCCAGCCTGGCCTGCGAACATCAGTACAATGTAGCCTCCTTGGGTACATGTACAACCCAAGCAAGACAGATCACCAGTGTTGGGGCTGCAGCTGGGGTCAAAGGCATAAAGCAATCTAGATTCAAAGTCTGAAGCCTCCTGTGGATAAATCCATTTTCGATAAGGATCAGTAACAGGCCTCAAGGAGGGAGTCTCTGAGGCTGGCTGGTGTCCAGAGGGGTTGTGCTGAGCTTTCCCCCAGGGGATGAATCACTGGTGGTTCAATGTGGTGGCAGAGGTTAGGGAACCAGAAGAGATCTGAGGAACCCAAGAAGGAAGCCAGAAACCTGTAATCTAGTTAGATGGGTTTTATTGGTTCATGTGGGTTTGCTCCCACCTTCTATCTTAGGCATGAGGTCCCTGGGAAGTGAGCACCTTGGACCCAACCTCAAGCCCTGAGTCAGGAATTCCAACTACATGAGAAGCCCAGGGCAGAATGGCAGTGACAGCTGGAGGACCATGCTTCTGGCCTCACAGCAGAATGGCACTAAGGAAATCCTCATGATCTGAGTCCTGAAGGAAGCAGGGTGAGGTAGGAGGTCTAGGGGATGAAAGGATCTGGGACCCCAGGGCCAGCTGGGCCACACTGAGCTCTCCACCCTTGTGCATGAGGTAGAGATGGAAGTGGAAACCACTGCTGTAGGTTGCATGCCTCAGGGACCAGCCATAACGGGCTTGAGCATAGTGTCTGGTCCGAAAGTGGGGTGCAGCAGAGGTTATTGAGATGAACCGGCCCCCAGGGATCAGCACCCGGCTCACCTGCAAGACAGACAGAGAAGCCATCGATGAGAAGTCGATCTGCAGATTATGAGAGGTCAGTACTGCTCCAGAGGCCCTCCCGGTCAAACCTCAGGTACTACCCTACATCCAGTAGCTCAGGCTCTCCATGGCAAAGAGTAAGCCATCTTCTCTGCCCCTAGCCATTCCATGGGGATAGAGCTATATTCTAGATAGATATCCTCATTAGTATAGTGGTGGGTAAAAAAATAAAGAAAAGAAAAAAAAGATAAGTAGACAGGTAGGAGGAGCGTGGGAGTGATGTCAGGTGTGGGGAGCACTATTTTCCTATCAACTGTTCACCTTCCCAGTCTGCATCACCTGTCTGGAACCTGGCTGCTACCTCATCCCTATAGCAACCCAGTAGCCAAACATCAGCCTTTGTGCACCTGGCCACTCCAGCCCCCTCTAATGTTGACCCAGCTTAACCCTCCCCTTCATCAGAGAACCACACTCCTAAGGTGACCCACTACCTGCTCCAAACCATGCTTTCTTCTGGCTTCTGAGTTCTTCCAATCTCCTCACCCCCACCTCTTGATCTGACCTTCTCTCTTGTTGCTTCCTCACCTCACTCAACACCTGGTCCACAGTGTGGACACCTTCAGAGGACACATTCCAGGGATCCCGTTCCCCAGCCAGCAGAGCATCCAGTGTGCCCTTCTCGACCACCACATCAAAGGAGCCACTGGGGAAGTTCAATGCCCGCACGTCCATGGTCTCCCAGCGCAGCTTGGGCACATGAGCATAGCGAGCCTGCATGGCAGCCACCACTACTGATGAGTAGTCCACACTGGTCACATCAGGGAAGCCTCCAAGGAACAGCTCATAGCTCAGGGCACTGTTTCCACAACCTGGGGTGGGAAGGGATGCATAGCAAAAGAGCTAGGTTAGCTTTGGTTCTCATCTCCCCTTGATTATCCATCCACTTGGCCCATTTACTCCCAGTCCAAACCCTGCAGTACTGAGAAGAGGTGGCATAGTGCAGAAAAGAGCATGAGCCCTGGCATCACACAGACCTGGGCACAAACCCTGGCTCTATCATTCCTAGCTGTACAGACTAGGGTGAGTTGTTTAAACAGTAGGAACTTGTATTTCCTATTCATAAAAATGAAGAAAACAATACCTAGTATACACAGAGGATGTGATGCACTAAATTTAAGAATTCAAATAGCTGGAGAGCAGCTGAAGGACCTCTGAATTGGGAGTTCAAAGATCTGGATTCTGATATCCCTAGTCACACAGCCATGGAAAATCATTGAACTCTTTGAGCCTCAGTTTCCTCAAACTCAGAATGGAGATAATATTAGCATCATTAGGACCATCATATTATTATTATTAGGAAAATATTATTATTATGATAATATTAGTATTATCCTAATCCCTAACCCTAACCTCTTAGAGAACCTTGGAAGATATCAACCCTGGGAAGGCTTCATGTTAGGAGTTATTCTCCTACTTTGTTTTCTAAGGCAGTGAAGGGGAAACTAGGTGGGGACACACAGTGGAGCTGATCCCTTGTAATTCTTAATGTATGTTTTGAACACTACATATTGGGCTCTGCTGATGAATAAAGTCCCTGCCCTCAAGGAGCTCATGGTCCTTTGTTTTTCCAGTGGGAAGAACAAATGTGTAACCAAGCAGTTGTCACATAACATGATGAGTGTTTCAATAGGGCCAGGCTATGAGAACACATAGGAATGCCCCAATCCCACCTCAGATGGGTCAGCCAAGAGTTTCCAGGCAGCCGACAACAAAGCAGAGTTTTGAAAAACACAGTTTTGACAATTTCCAACATTCTGGTGAGAAGTGCCTGGAATGCAGTACCAAAGAGGGCAGGGTCAGGTTAGAGAGGGGGTGGAGGTTAGACGAATAGACGTGGTTCTACCGCCCAGTAGGTATGACTTCCTCAGAAGATCCAGTGGCCCTCTTCCAGGCCCTCCTGTGGCCAGCCTCAGCCTGAGGACAGGGCTGTGACAGCTCTTGATGCCCTCACGCGGGGATCTCCAACTCCTGGGATTAGGTTGCCTGTAATCCCCATTTGCCTTCCTAAGAGGATCACAGGATCAGCAGTTGGGATAGCCCTAATCTAGCAGGGCTTGGCACCTGGACAGGGCACCCAGAGGCAGCTGGCTGGTCCTCAGCTGCCCCTTCCCATGTTCCTTTTCAAGCCCTGGGGCTCAGGGAGAGTATTATCTCGCCTGGGAAGACCCAACACATGCTTCCCCAAGTTGCAGCCACAAAAGCTCTGATAGATACAGCACCTGGGATGCGGGGTACAAGTGGCTGAACAGGAGACCCTGACTCAGTTCCAGGCTGAAATCCCATTGGGTTCTCTGACTCACAATCCCTTCATTACCCCATACCTGACCTCATATGCCTGCAGAGCTCTGCCCAACTGTGGATAACCCCAAATTTCCTTTCTTTGTTCCCCTTGGTACCCAAGAGAACTTTACCAAAGAGGAAAGGAGAATGAGACCCAAACACTGGGTCGGTTATTCTTACAAAGCAGTGATTTCTGATTCTGTTGCCTCAGTAATGTGGGGCTAGCAACTAAGGTCTAGTTCAGAAGGTCACTGCCTTCCGAGGTGGGGCCTTAGGGAAGCAGAGTCTTGAAGAAATGATCCAAATCCAAGAACACATTACATGGGACCCCGGAGCTATGTGGATGCTAACTCAACACCAAGAGACTGAAATGTTACCCAGAACGCCAGGTCACTCACTTTTAACAGGAAAAATAGCCATCACAGAGACTGGAGTTGAATCCTCTAGTCAGTCCCTTTTCTCTTTATGAGAAATCTAAATTGGAAGCCAAATTATGATTAGAAGATTCCTATGGAGCATGGAGTCAAGCAAGGATAGAGAGTCGGAGAACTATTATGTCATTAAATATGAAATGTCTGATTTTGAATCAAAAGTGCAGTTTATATCTCAAACAAGCAGTACAATTAATCAAAGTATGAGCCTAAACTATTGAAACAATTTTGCTCCCTAACAGTAGCTTGTTTATGCCAGCAGCGAAGAGGCCTATAGAGCCAGTGGTGGTGAAATCGCAAAAAGGCATTTTCCATAGCTCATGGAGAACTGAATATTTTTCCTTGTAAGAAGTGGTCCAAAGCCTGGAAGAAGTGGGAATCAGCTAGCGCAAGGTCTGGTGACTACAGCGGATGACAGAGAGTTTCCGAGTCTAGCCTCTATAGTTTAGGCAGCATTGTTTGTGCCACATGTGGTCGAGTGTTGTCTTACAAGAGGACTGGCCTTTCTCTATTGACCAATCTCGGCTGCTTAATCACAAGCATCCTCATCATTTTGTCCAACTGGTTGCAGCAGACATCTGCTGTAATCGATTGACCAGGTTTCATGAAGCAGATAAAACCATTGCTAGACCACCAAACAGACATCATTAGCTTTTTTGGATGAATATTTGGTTTTGGACTGTGTTTCAGCACTTCATCTTTATCCAACCATTGTGCCAAACGCTTGCAATTGTCAAAAAGAATCCATTTTTCATCACACATAACAATATGGTGTAGAAATTGTTCGCCTTTAGGTCATGACAACAAAGAAAGGAAAGCTTTGAGACGATTTCTCTTCCAATGATTGTTTAATTCATGCAGAACCCATCTATACAGCTTCTAGACCTTGCCAATTTGTTTCAAATGGTCCAATATTGTTAGAATAGTAACATAAAACCTTGCTGCTAATTCACACGTAGGTTGAGATGGATTCGCTTCCACTATAGCTTTCAGCTCATCATTATCCACCTTGGTCTCAGGTCAGCCACATGGCTCATTTTCAATATTAAAATCACCATAACAGAACTTCTCAAACCATCAGCATACTGTGTGTTCGTTAGCCACATCCTTCCCAAACAATTCATTGACATTTTGAGCTGTCTGTGCTGCACTGGTTCCATGACGGAACTCACATTCAAAACTAACATGAATTTTAGTGGCACTTTCCTGCTGAAGAAACTGCCCTACCTTGAACCCCTGCCTGGTGTGTGGTTTCAGAATGTAATGAGGACCCCATCTAAGCTCCAGGATGGTACTGGAGGCACCTCAGGGTGGATACGGTGATGTTGCTCTGTCCCATTGAGGGAAAGTTAGTTTAGTTGTGAATATCACACCAATCATGAGGTTCTCTGCAAGAAAGCGCCACTCCCCACAGCTCTGGCCAGAGTGGCCTCTGGTGAGCAGACAGCCACTGGCCCCTGCCTCTCAGACACTGGACAGGCCTTTGCTGGGGACTCATTTCCCTCCTGAGGTACCTGGCCTTGGGCTGCAGCCCTTTGGCGGGCTGCCCATTGGTCCTAGACTGGGGCCTCCAGGAGTGGCTCAGGCCCCCTCATCCCCCCGCCCCCGCACCGGGTTCAGGCCTTTGCCTTTCTCCTGCCCACATCCCTGTCTTGGCTTGACTGCACAGCTGTCCTCCAGTGCCAGGTGGCTCCTGCTGCCAGTGACCTGGCAAGGAGGTCCCTGGTGATTATAAAACTGTTCAATAAGGAAAATTCAGAATGAAGTGGAAGAAGGAAGAAAGGCACATCCCTACCCCTGAAGGCCACTTCCCTCTAGTCTCCAGTGGGTTGCTAGGCCGTGCTCAGAACGATGCTCTTGCTGCATTCAGCCGTGGGGCCTCGGTCTGTCCCAAGTCTGCTCTTTTCCTCATGTGGTAATGGATGTCTCTGGACAAAAACTTCTTTATATAAAAATTTAAAGTCATGCTTTAATGTCTTAGTCCATTTGGTGTCTTATAACAAAATACCATAAACTGTGTGGCTTATAAACAGCGGAAATCTATTTGTCATAGTTTTGGAGGCTGGAAGCCCAAGATCAAGATACTGGCATTAATCCCATTCTCGAAGACTCCACCCCCATGACCTAATCATCTCCCAAAGGCCCCACCTCCTGATACCACCACTTTAGGTGGGGGGATTTCAACATATGAATTTTGGGGAGACACAAACATTCAAAACATAGCATAATATATTATAGAGCTAACAATTGCAGAGTGCCTCTGATCAAGCTCAGCATTCCAAGTCAAGGCACATATGTGAAGAGCAAGGTGGGCTTTGATACCCACAGCCCTGACCTTGGGTGAGCAGCCCCGCAGGTCTCTTCCTTCTGCAGGCACGTGCAAGGGTGGGCCTCCTCTAAGGGCCTCCCCACTGCACTCAGTCCTCTCCACGGGACCACGGCAGGGGCTAGGGGTGACCCACCAGGCTGGGGAAGAGGATAGCAAAGGGATAAAACCCCAAAAGTGGCAGCAGGATGGGGGAGGTTTCCCCACATGCCCAATGTGTGTTAAAAAACAGACTCCCTATATCTGCCTGAGAGAAATAAAAACATACAACCCCCTCAAAAAAGAAAACACGAAGGCCGGGCGCGGTGGCTCACGCCTGTAATCCTAGCACTCTGGGAGGCCAAGGCGGGCGGATTGTTTGAGCTCAGGAGTTCGAGACCAGCCTGAGCAAGAGCGAGACCCCGTCTCTACCAAAATAGAAAGAAATTAATTGGACAGCTAAAAATATATAGAAAAAATTAGCCGGGCATGGTGGCGTATGCCTATAGTCCCAGCTACTTGGGAGGCTGAGGCAGTAGGATTCCTTGAGCCCAGGAGTCTGAGGTTGCTGTGAGCTAGGCTGACGCCATGGCACTCACTCTAGCCAGGGCAACAAAGTGAGAATCTGTCTCAAAAAAAAAAAAAAAGAAAACACGAATTTTTGACTTATCCACGGTTCCAAGAAAATTGCTCAAAAAAAAAAAAAAAAATTGGAAGATAATCACAAGCCAAAACATGCATTTGAAAGACTGAGGATGTACCTTCAAATAAAAACAAAACAAGACGTGTCAAAGTGAAATGTCAGAGATATCAACCATCAAACTTAGTACTTAAGGAAATTAGACATTTCATAGTTAATAACCTAATATAATGATGGCAAAGCAGGAATAGCCATCCATATGCATTCACCTGCCATGAGGATATTTTAACTGTAGGGACCTGAAACACAAGTCCTTAGGCAGGGCATTCTGTTCTCTGAACAGTCCTGGATAAACTGCCTCTCTGATCCCTATTTTCAATAATAATGATAGCTAAGAGTCACTGAACACCAGGCACTATGCTAAGCATTTTATAAGAATTATTTCAGTTTATTTTTGCAATAGATTCATATAAAAGATACTATTATTACCATTCCCATTTTCTAGATGGGAAAATTGAAGAAAGTAAGAAACTTTCCCAAGGTCACAGTGGAAAGGCCAGAATTTGGACCCACGTGTGTATCACTCCAGAACCAGAACTCTTCAACCACTGTGCTCAACTACCTCCAGTTTTCTAGAGGCCCACTCACCTCCAGCAGTGACAGTCCATCTTTAGCTATATCAGTATGACTTTTAGGCTGTAATTCAGAATGTTATCTTACCAGTTTCAACAGAGTTCTAGATGCCTCTCTTTTTTTTTTTTTTGATACAGAGTCTCACCCTGTTGCCAGGGCTAGAGTGCAGCAGAATCATCATTGCTCACTGCAACCCCAAACTCCTGGGCTCAAGCGATCCTCCTACCTCAGCCTCCCAAGTAGCTGGGACTACAGATTCAGACCACGACACTGGGCTAATTTCTCTATTTTTAGTAGAGATGGGGTCTTGCTCTTGCTCAGGCTGGTCTTAAACCCCCGAGCTCAAGCAATCCTTCTGCCGTGGCCTCCCAGAGTGCTAGGATTACAGGTGTGAGCCACCGCACCTGGCCTAGATGCCTCTCCTCACCCATCTGTGTGGTACAGCAAAAGTATTATAGAAGCTCGCATCAGAAGGCAACTTTACTTCACCACTTACTTGCTGCGTGACAGTAGTGGACACTGTTGGTGCTCTAACCAGATCCCCTCGGAGTCCTTTTACCAATTTTGTATGTCCCAGTTTTGGTGTGTGTTTGCTTCTAATGGTTTGCATGTGTGACTTTTTAGGCTGAAAATATCCTCAGGGAAACTTTTGCCTGAGATCACAATCTTGCTTGGCGTCTTCCCTTTCCCTGTTACCCTAATCTCTTACCAAGTCTCCTGGGAGCACTTTCCTAACAAATGACTTACACATGAATCCTCATCTTAAGGATTTGCTTCTGGGTCACCTGACCTAAGAAAATGACCTACAGCAAGTGTTGCCAAAATTTAGCTTGGCACTTGTTTTTGTAAATAAAGTTTTATTGAAACATAGCTATTCTCATTCACTTTTGTATTATCTGTAGCTGCCTTTCCACTACAACAGCAGAACTGAGTAGTTGTGAGAGGGACTGTATAGCCTGCAAAGCCCCAAATATTTACTATTTGGCCATTTTCAGAAAAAGTTTACAGACCTATAATCTAGAGTAAGTCTCTTAATACTTATGACTCATCTTTAGGGGATGTCATAAGACTTGAGTAAGTTAGAAAGGGCCCATCACATTTCCTGGCACTTACCAAGTGCTCAACTTATGTTTGTCGAGGTGGGAAGTAACATAAGGTACTCAAGTTGTAGGTCCTGTTCTTAGATCTTGAGGATCATGCCTAGAAAGTTTTCTCTTTTGATTTTTAGAAGTTTCACCTCTCCTATCCAGAAAAGGATACCTCCCAGTCAAGCAGAATTTAAGATGGTATTACTCTGACAATCACCAGCATAAAAATCAGCTGTAGAGTTTATTGAAAATATAGATTCCTGGGGCTCACCTTAGACCACTCCTAGAATTATAATTTCAGGGTGGGGTTGAGTTTTCCAGGTGATTTTCATACACACTAAAGCTTGAAAAACATACATCTATGGTAAATCTATAAATGAATGCAATGGTTTAACATGACAATGTTAAAGAAAGTGTTTACCTGTGGGGGGAACAGATTTAGGGAGGACCACACAGAAATTTTTGAATGTAATTTTCATTTTGCCAGGCATTTTTCTAGGTTATCTTTCACACTCGTTCAATCATCCTAAAACTCAATAAACAAGTCGTCTTATTTCTTTAAGGCTGAGAAAATGGAGGCACAGAAATTTACCTATTTTGTCCAGGATTACACAGCCAGTATAAGCTGAGCCAAGATTCCAATATAATTAGCTGCCTCCCGAGTTCAGATTTTTTTGTGTGTGATATACAGTCACACACTGTGACTGTATACTGTCACAGTATACAGCCGGGGGATATACTGTCCCCCGGCTAGAGTGCAGTGGCCTCATCATTGCTCACTATCACTCCAAATCCTGGGCTCAAGCGATCCTCTTGCCTCAGCCTCCCGAGTAGCTGGGACTACAGGTGTGCGCCACCACGCCTGGCTAATTTTTTCTAATTCTTGTAGAGATGGAGTCTCGCTTTTGCTCAGGCTGGTCTTGAACTCCTGAGCTCAAGCAATCCTCCGGCCTCAGCCTCCTAGAGTGCTAGGATTACAGGCGTGAGCCACCACGCCGGGTCCAGAGTTCAAGTTCTTAACCACCAAGTTACACTTCCTTTTTAGTCCTAGTCATGTGCTATTTCTCAAACTAAGCAGAATAGACACACACATTCGACTTGTTATTTATACCTTATATATACACTGTATTATAGATGTCTTTTATATTTATTAAATACTTCACTTAAACATATAAAGGCTTTTACAAAGAGCAAAAATAAAAACTATAACTGGAAGGAAACCTGTTACTCATTCAAACTTCACTAGAGCCTTCAAGGCTCACACAGTGGTAGAAAACCCCAAGAAGGCATTTGGACTTAGAGACCCACGTTGCGTCTCACCACTTCCCTTTGCGGAGTCGCGCAGATCTCGGCTGCTATCTCCCCTCCGACCTCAGAGGGCGCTTTACTCACCCTCACTTCACAAGAGGCATAGGACTAAGTTTCAGTTAGGGGTCTGAGAGTGGTGAGACGATAACTGTCCAAGGTGACTCTCTCTGTCGGTCCCAGTACCCATGGGACCAAAAGAAAAGCTCTAAGCATTGTGCTCGAGGGGCCTGCACATGCCTTATCCGACTTGAACTTGCAGTCCCATTTCTAGAACTGAATCTGAAGCTCAGAACAGGTTCATAGCCTGTTCTAAGTTATACAGTCAATTAGCGCTGGGACTTTAAACTAGGTCCTCCGAGTTCTCCGGTGCCCGAGGCTGCCTCCCGAGGGCCCGCGGACCGACAATCTCTAACTCGTGTTTGCCCTAGCTAAATACAGCCAGGATTCTGAAGGTATCGGATCTTGGCTCCGGACTCGGGCGTCCTCTAAGAGAGGTAGACAGCAGGAAAGCGGACGGGGCCAGGCCCAGGCGGAGCCGATCCTGGCAACTCCACCTGGGTAGGGCAGCGCCGGGACTACCCACCTAGCACGAGAATACGGTCCTCGGGCCGTAGCTCCGGCTCTAGGAGGGCACGGAAGGAGGAGAAGTCCCCGAACCATTCGTAGGGGGCAGAATCGGCTGCGTCTCGGTAGCGCTGATCCCAGTACTGCACCTCTCGGTACCAGCAGTTTCGCTCGGGTAACTCCGGCTGGGGAGCCGTGGCCCCTGGAGAGGCCATGCTCTCAGCAACCCGGCAGCCAGAACACCCAGCCTTCCTAGCCAATCCAGATGGCGGATATGGGAGGCGGGAACCTTTTGTCTCCGCCCACCGCCTGCAGTTGCCCAACACAAACACGTGGAACTTCCGTCCTCTGCTAAGCGCACTTGGAAAAGTCCTCCGGCTACGAAAACGGTAGCGTCCAGACCCTGAATCCTCCGGCCTTACTGCCCGCTCGTTTCCTAGGGCCACATTCACAGTGTGGGACTCATTCGGGCTCTTCACTGTGGTCTCGTACATTTTCAACGTGAACTGCTCCTCCCGTTAAGAAATCTGAAAATTAGTGAAAGATTCATTTTTTTCCAAGTCGTTTTTGAGTACCCAAAAATATCTAAGGGGAGGCTCGGACAGGGCCTTTTTTCTCCAAAAGAGACAGCACGAACCCTGATATTCCCAATACAGGCGAAATGGGATGCTGGGTTTGGCGGGGTGGGAGTGGGAGGTGAGCAGGAATGTTGCTTTTCTGGGCAAACATTTGTTCTGCGTTAGCGCTTGTGTACCTCAGGGCTGGGTATAAACTGAGGAATAAGACTTTGTTCCTGCTCGTGCGGAGCGTATAGTACATCAGAGGAGACGTGGAAGAAGCCAATTTCAGTAGAGTAAATAAGAACTCTGGCTACTCGGGTCGCGCTTAGTCTGCTGGCACGCCCGACGCGGGGAGCGGAACCAAAATGTTGAAGGGTCGGGTTTCCGGGGTGGTGGGCCTACGGGAGCGACGTACCGTCAACATGGCGGCTGGGCTGCGGAAACGCGGCCGGGCCGGTTCCGCGGCCCAGGCTGCCGGAGTCTGCCGGCAATGGTTACAGCGCGCCTGGCAAGAGCGGCGCCTACTGCTACGGGAGCCACGCTACACGCTGCTGGTGGCCGCCTGCCTCTGCCTGGCGGAGGTGGGCATCACCTTCTGGGTCATTCACAGGGTGGCATGTGAGTGCGCCGTACGGGGAGGGGAGGGAAGGGAAGGGAGGGAGACCCAAACCCCCGGACCGAAGCTCAGAAATGTAACTCAAAACTAAACTCCAGATTCATTAATTCATCAATTGCAGACCCATATCCCCTACCCGAACCCCAAGCCTGCTCGACAGAAGACCGGATCTTAATCCTGCCAACCATGATGGAGGCAGCGACCCTAGAGATTGGCTTCTCCCCTGAACATACAGCCTGCAAGGCTAAGAAAGCAAACCAGCCTGGCAGTCAGAAGACCTAGGCCCAAGTTAAATGCACTGCTGCTGCTGCTTGTTTCTATGGCTTTGGACACGTCATTTCCCTTCCTGGATCTAAATTTTCTCATCTGTTCAATTCTGAGGTCTTTGAAAGTCCCTTCTCAACGATGGCATTTTGTGACCACTCGAGTCCATTAGGCATTATTGGCGACTCTTCTCCGATGTTGACTCTATACACTGGGCTTAAGCACCTGGCTTTCTTGCTAAAGATGATTAACTCAACACATTTATTGAGTGCTTATTATATGCCTAATGTTATAGTAAATGCCAGAGGTACAGTGGTGAATAAAAGAGACACATTTCTGACTTGGGTATGTAGGCCTGGAAAAAGATAAGTTAGGAAGCAATTACAATGCATCATATTCATTATGACAGTAGTAAGACAGGATGCTATAAAGGTCACAGGAGGGCACTTAAGCCGGACCTGAGGAGTCAAGAAGGCTTCATAGACGACCCCTGCCCCCCCTTGGAAGGTAGGAATTAGCTATTTGAGGAAAGAAGGTAAAGGGAAGGGGAAACAGTGTTCTGGGCAGAGAGGACCCTGTATGAAAAACCTCCAGTCATGCCCGGCACGGTGGCTCATGCCTGTAATCCTAGCACTTTGGTAGGCCAAGCTGGGAGGATTGCTTGAGGCCAGGAGTTCAAGACCAGCCTGACCCCATCTCTGCAAAAAACAGAAAAATTAGCCAGGTGTGGTGGTGTGTGCCTGTACTCCTAGCTACTTAGGAGGCTGAGGCAGGAGGATCACTTGAACCTAGGAGTTTGAGGTTGCAGTGAGCTATGATGATGCCATTGTACTCCAGCTAGAGTGACAGAGTGAGACCCTCTTTCAAAAAAAAATTTTAAAAAAACCCTCCAGTCAAAAAAGAGCCACAAACGTAATGTTCTTAAAAATTAAAAAATAGATTTAAAAAAGAGAGAGAACCTGATTCCTTTGAGGAATGAAAGAATTTTTTAGAGCTGTAATGTAGAAATCAAGTCAGTGTAGTAGTGAGAGATGAGATACAGAAATTGGGACCAGATAATGAAGGGATTTGAAAGCCTTTGTTAAGGAGATAGCATGATAGTTAAGAACTTGGGAACACATGAGTTCCAGTCCCAACTCTACTCTTCCTAGCTCACTGATCTTAAGCTAGTCACGTAACCTAATTAATTCTTAGGTTCCTCTTCTAGAAATGGAAATAATAGAGTTTGGTCTTTGTTGTAAGAGTCTTAGGGAATCATTGAAGGATTTTAAGAAGAGAGGCCTGCTATGATTTGTATTTTAGGGAAAGCTTTCTAGTACAGGGTAGAAAATATATTGTAGTGGAGTGAAAGTAGAAGCTGGGAGCCTAATTAGGAGGCTATTTTTTGTATTGTTGAGGCTAGAGATTATGTTAAACACACACGAGAGTATGCAGTAGCAGAAAAGGATGAAATGGTAGAGATATTTAGGATGATGAATAGGCAGGACTTATTTACTGAGGATTGGAAATGAGAGAGAAGGAAATATTAAAGGGCTTAGCCAGGTTTTCAACCTGGACAGTTAGAGGTTGATAGTGCCATTCATGGAACCCAGGAACGGGAGCAGATTTGGAGTGGAAGGAAATATCATGAGATTAATTATAGACATGTTGAGTTTTAATGCCTGGGTTTACCCAGAGAATGTCAGATCAGCAGTTAGATAAGAGGTGGTAATGGAAACCCTGGGAATGAGCTGGGAAGTCTGTGCTTTGATAGTCTGGAGGCATGGGGAGGGAGGCAGACAAGTTCTGGACTCAGAAGTAACCAAATTGTGTTGTCCTCTTCCAGACACAGAGATCGACTGGAAAGCCTACATGGCCCAGGTGGAGGGCGTCATCAATGGCACTTATGACTATACCCAACTGCAGGGTGACACTGGACCACTTGTGTGAGTGGGGATAGGAGGTTCAGGGAGGACGTCAGGGGCTCGCTGGGTACCAGTCTAGGTGACCTGACCCAGGCTCACATTCCCTCTCTTCCAGATACCCAGCTGGTTTTGTGTACATCTTTATGGGGCTATACTATGCCACTGGTCGGGGCACTGATATCCGCATGGCCCAGAACATCTTTGCTGTGCTCTACCTGGCCACCCTGCTGCTTGTCTTCTTGATCTATCATCAGACCTGCAAGGTAAGTCCATGCTACCAGGATTAAAAGGCCCCAACCTGGAATGACTAGGGAGTGGGGATGGTTCAGGCTTTTTGACCTGACCTTGTTCCTCACTGTGCCCACCCCTCAGGTACCTCCCTTCGTCTTTTTCTTCATGTGCTGCGCCTCTTACCGTGTCCACTCCATCTTTGTGCTGCGGCTCTTCAATGACCCAGTGGCCATGGTGCTGCTCTTCCTTAGCATCAACCTCTTGCTGGCCCAGCGCTGGAGCTGGGGCTGCTGCTGTTTCAGGTCAACACCCCTCCCTTCTGGCCTCCTCTCTTACTTTGTGGATTTGCATTTCTTTCTCCCCAGTTCTCTGTGACAGAGTAAGGGAGTAGTCAGACAATGTGGGTCACTCCAGGCCCCACAGGGCAAGTCCAGGATCTGTAGAAAGTGTCCTGCCCTCCCACCCCCACACATGCCCTCTTTCCATCCTCTCTTCCCACTAGACGACATCCTTTGTTAGAATTGGTCATTGCACATTCAAAATACTCAACACATGCTCACGCCGTTTGGGCATAGAGACTAGGGGTCTGCCCACTACCTCCAGTCTCCTTGCAAGCTAACTTACCCTGCCTCTGGCAGTTCTGAGTGTGGACCCCCCATCCTGGAGTTTGCTGGTGTGGGGGTGGGGGTATATCTTTGGGCAGTGTGCACGGCCCTGGAGCTCATCTCCACCCTTCCTCTCCCCTGCCCACCCCAGCCTGGCAGTCTCTGTGAAGATGAATGTGCTACTCTTCGCCCCTGGGTTACTGTTTCTTCTCCTCACACAGTTTGGCTTCCATGGAGCTCTGCCCAAGCTGGGCATCTGTGCTGCCCTTCAGGTACCCCCACCTTACTCTTCCCCTTTCTAATGAAGAGGGTGTGCCACTCGTCTGGTCTCCTTCCATCCCTGAAACTTCCTCAAAGCCAAGAGGCAGGATTTTGGAGTTGATTCTGAGCTGGGAAGCCACTATCTCTGGGCTTTAGTTTCCTTAGCTATAAAATAAGGGTACTGAACTAGATAGTCTGTGAGAACCTTTCTAGCTCTGCCCATTTATGATTTGGTGAATCCAAACCTTAAAGTATTGTTATTACCTGCCTCCTCAGCTTCTTTGGCCACAGGCCCTGGCCTGAGTGTGTGTGTAGCTTTCCTACTGTTCCTGTTGGGAATTAAGAATCCCTGAGGTCTACATCCTGCTCCCCTCAGTGATTAGCACTAAGCCTGCGGGGTGAACCTTGGCAGCTCTGCTGACATCACACCCATCTTCAGGTGATGCTGGGGCTACCCTTCCTGCTGGAGAATCCAGTTGGTTACCTATCCCGCTCCTTTGACCTTGGCCGCCAGTTTCTGTTCCGCTGGACGGTGAACTGGCGCTTCCTCCCAGAGGCCCTCTTCCTGCATCGTGCTTTCCACTTGGCCTTGTTGGCTGCCCACCTCACCCTGCTCGTGTTGTTTGCCATCTGCAGGTGGCACAGGTGAGAAAGGGGGGCACTGCTATGGCCTTAGGGGCTTCCCAGAGGAGATATTAAGCTCATGGAGGTGAGTCTAGAGTTTGGCCCACAATGAGGGCTTGATAAATGTCTGAATGGCTTCTCCCCAGGACAGGGGAAAGTATCCTGTCACTGCTGAAGGATCCCTCCAAAA